AGAAGTGAAAGCACAGCAGAATTACTGCTCCTTAGAGGAGGTAGCCAAAGTACTGAAATCAATAACATAAGAGTAATCAGTTGACTGAAGTCTTGGAGATTCTCTGTTATGGTAATTTCTCTGTGCTTTGTTTCCTGGAAATATGAGCAATTCACCTACTTCAGCCTGTCAAGGAAAGATGCCAGGCATTCTAGTATACCTTCTCCATTTCTCATTATGACTTCGTTTGTAGCTTCTAAATGACTTTCCTTAGACTATGAAGACTGTTGGCAAAGATGTAAGATTTGTATTGAGACCAGATTTATAATGAAACAAGAGCTCAGGTACTGGGTTCATGGTTTGGTGTAGAATGCTCATTGCGATTCAAGTATGAGGTTCCTGAAAACTAAGGAGAGTTGCAAAATAACCTCCTAAGATTCTTGACTGTGGCTGAAGTTTTTGCTTTAGATTAAAACCAAATGAAAAGCATGTACTTCCATCCAAATTGAGAAATATTTGAGATTTATATTCTGGACAAATTACACACAATCTTTCTTTGTTCTCATTTCTGCCATCTATTTTGAGTGCTGCATGCTTTGCTGCTCTTCTAAGATATCTGTTGGTACTTTCAAGGTATGAAGTTCCATTGACTGTTATGCAGCTGCCTTCTGCACTGGCAAGTGCCATAGTGTAGTCACACACCTGCTCACCCTCTCTGAGAATCCAGCAGATGCTCTCTGGCAGCTGTCTCTGGGTTTGCAGTGAATGGTGGCAGGACTGAAAAGAGCAGAGCTGATTAGGGCCCTGGGCAACCTCATGTCCATCTGCTGTTGAGATTTACTTTTGCAAAGTGTCAGTGAGTATTTGACTGGACTTACTGGGGGAAGAGCACTATGTGGATTTGGACTTGGGATACTGACAAAGTTTCCCGAGGTTTGCTGTGAAAAGGCACCTCAGTGCGCATTTTCCAGACTCCACTATCCTTAAACTCATGGGACAAAGGTAAAATCTGTGGTAGTAAACTTTCTTTAAAAGTGTCATACAGCCTGATAAGTTTCCTTACAGGAACAGCCATTAAAAAGTCACCGTGAAATGTAATTTTAAAAAGCCTGCAGGTAGAAATGCATTACCTAGGTTGTCTGTGGGTACCCTCTTTTATGCTGAAGTTGCTGAGTTCCACAGTCCAGCTGCAGTATTGCTGTGATGCCAGTTTTATAGTTTTATACCTCTTACTCCTGTTGTCCGTGGTCCTTTTACCTCCCTTCAGCTCAGCTGTTCTGGTTTCCTTTGCTCCATCAGAGTTCAGAAAGTAAATCAATTAAATTTGTTTCTCTCCTCTGAAGTCATATTTCAAAACTCAGTCTTTACTTTTGAGGAAGTCAGTATTTCAGTTCTTCATGATAAGGGCTGCAGCCGATAACCCCTTACCAATGCTCACCTTTACAGGAGGTAGGATTTGTTCCAGTATTGTCCTGTGGATGAATCTCCACTTTGAAATAGAGACCTCTGAGCCAGGACAGGTCGGAAAGCCCACAGGATGCAGCACAACCCTTTGCAGAGGTAGCAACTCGTTTTTGAAAGTAGTACGGTCATGTTTGCTTGCTCTTGTCCCTCAGCTGATGGACTTGCCTCTGTAGCAGAAGCTGAAATCTAGTTGGTACAGAGGGAAGATCTTTCTTATGCTCTTTGAAGACTGTAGAAAAAAAAGATTCACCGTTTTTCTTAATGATATTTCAGAGTATCCACACTATCTGAGTACGAGCAGCACATCTTCAGCCTCTCTTCTCTTTTTCAAAAAGTCAGCACTGTAAATTTAAATTACTCTCCCTACCTGACATAACCCTGACCAGACCCTATAAAACCCAGTACTCGTGAAGTCACCTAACCTCCTGTTTGACAGAGGGTGGCAGAGAGAATGACCCACTCACGAGAGAAACGAGTTATGCCTGACAGAGTGCTCAGCAGCTGCGGCACTACCACACACCAACAGCACCAGGGACTATGGGATGTGCTATGTCGCTTTGTCTTGGGGCTCTGTGTTATACTGAGATCTGTCACTAGATGGTGCATTCGACAAATGATTGGAAAAGATTGATCTTCCCATACGGAAAGATGTTGGCCTAAGGCTGACCTTGACAGTTTATTTGCTGCGTAATCCTTTTCATAACTTTTCACAAAGTTGACCCTTCTGTGCAAGAGTTGAGTTCCGTGCTTCCACAGATGCCAAGGTGTTTGGCATTTATGCCTATAGATGTGGGGGATTTTTTTTTTTTCTGACCACAGATAAGTTTAACAACTCACTTAGAAAAAAGCAAACTTTGATGTCATACTGAGTTTGAGGGGTGCATAGAGGAGGTATGTTAGAAAGTGTCTGATATTCCGTATTAATGTGCATTTCCCATATCCCATCAGTCGAGGTAATTAAGTGAAACTGAAGACATGCACATATTGGTTTATTTGCTGGAGAATAAATATCAGTTTATTGCTCCATGGCCATTTACCTTTGCCATAGGGCAGTGCTTCTAATCAAGCTTTCCTTCCCCTCCGCTATGAGACGGTGTGTACAGGCAGAGACTCCCGTGTCCAGGGGATTAGTGCATACCCATCCCTTTGGATGTGTGGAAACCCATCTGTATTCAGGATTTGGGGCAGGGCAGTGGGCAGCACAGCAAACAGCACACACACTGTTGGGAACTGTTGGTAACTTCGCCAAGGAACTCAGAAGAGCTGCCAGGGGTGTGGGCTAAGGGTGTACTTTTCGAGCTGATGGTTGGAGACCTATATGGCAGGTAACAGTGCTAGAGCGTGTCCTACCCCTTGGAGAATCTTTCTTTGGGGTGCGGATTTTGTTAGGGATCACTAGGTGGTGCTGGTACACATCAATCTCACAGCTTCCCTTGGCATCCGCACATTTTCAGTCTTTGGAGAAATGGTTCTTGTCACGTTTGGGTTTACGGTAACTCTCCGAAAAGCAGCTGAAATAGAGAAAGGGAGGAGGCAGCAGTAGCTGGCTAGGAAGAAGTGTCGCTTCTTTAAACCCTGGTATATGTGCTTGGGCTGAGATTTCTGGGGGAAAAGACTGACTGCACACAGGTAGCATGCATCCTCTTCCTAGGAAGAGTGTGTGTACTCGAATCCAGTGTCCTTCCTCATTGAGAGCTTCATTTTGAGGGCCCTGGATTTCTGTTTCCCCTGGACTGACAGTAGTGTATCAAGGTACAGCACCATGTTAGTTTACATGAAAAAATTCAGATTAATTTCACAGAAAGGGAAATCTTAGTTAGATGTGTTGCCTTCTAGGGTCATAAGTGGATAGTAAAATACTGTCAGAAGAGATAAGGAGTTTCCTGAATATGAATTCTTTAGAAAATGAACTGGCTCAGGTTACAAATTGTTTCTAAACTTATTTAGAGAGATTTTATAGCATTTAGAGATCACATTAAATTTCAGAGTGGTTTGAAACTTTTATTTTTGTTATTATTTTAAACAAATATGCCTTGACTGTTTCCGTTTATTCATTGATATATTTTAAATGAAAACAACCACATACATATGAATACATTGTAGTGATTTAGGCAGATTCCATATATTCTACAAATGTACACATATATCCCATTGTTCTGTTCTCACACCAGTAGTAACTTTGTGGTGTGAGAAATGATTGAGAAACCAGGAAGTGAAACTTACCATTAAAAAAAGCAGAAACCCAGTCTATCCTTCTCTTAGTGATAAATCCCTGGCAAACTGTTCAGTCTTTTTTTTTTTTTTTTACCTGTTATATCCCACTCTTTGCCTTGGTCATCTGATTTTTTCATCCTTCAGATGTTTACTACATACTGAATATGTGACCGTGCATTTAATATTTTTAGAGTAAGATCTTAAACCTTGCCTATGAGGAAAAAAATTATACTAAATTAACTATACTGAATTAGAAATTGATTTAGTTAAATCAGTGGAACTCTCCTGAGCACTTTATACCACTTCATTTCAGCAGTGAGTCAATGAGTAACAAATCAATTCTGATGTCAGAGAGTGAGAAAGATTAGACTAGATCTTCAGCCCTTCTATCTCAGTATTTATTAGGCTAAGGCGTCTTCAGGGCTTGTTGCTGTTCTCTTTAATTTTCTCTGCCTAATGGACCTGATCCAGCTCTTGATGGCATAAATGAGGGGTTTTCCATGACCTCCAGCTGGGAGCTGGAGATGGCAATATCTTTATTAAAAACCTAAAGAAGCTTAGAATGACAGATAACTCAAACCTGCCTCCTCACTGCATATTGAGTTAACAGATTGTGGCTCGTATTGCAGAACTTGCCTCTACACTGAAAAATATATTATTCTATATTCAGGGCAGGAAAATTCATTCTCTACTAACATTGTGCTAAGAGTACCGCTATGCAAAGAGTCATAATCTGATTTGATTTTCTCAGCAACAGCTGATAACATATATTTTGAGATATTTTTCAGTGATCTCCGCAGATTTTCTGCATTCAGGTTGGATAGACTTGGGAATTATTTCTAGTTTTGTGTCATCTTAACCAGAAACTAGACTGAAACATATAAAAAAGCACAACTTTTAAAAAATGTATTTCAAGAAGTGCTTGCTTTTTTTGTTGCTTTTCTCCTTCTCTACCTTTCTTCATACCTCTACAAACTATTAATAATTAAGAAGGATATCTGAGAATATGCTGAAAAAGAATATGCTGAGTTCTGCTCTCTGAAAATTCTCCTTACTGTTCCCAAAGCATCTCATTTCTGGCTATAGAGAGTAGCAGTTGAACTCTTGGAGTGTCTGCCTATTCCAGGAAGAGTAACTCACTTGTTTACAAACCTAAGATTTTGGTTTAGTGCAAAGTAATCTTTCTAAACGGGATGTTGTAATGCTGTAAACTCGGTAACCAACAATGTCCTGGCATGCTCTTACAATTCACCTATAGTCCTGGAAGTCTCTGTATTGTAAGTAGTGATGCCTCCTTCCACTTCCATCTCTGTTCCAAATGTGATTTCTTGTGTATTTTATAGGTTTATAATGGAACTTACATCTTTGCCTAAATTCCTTTGGACAAGTGACAACAAGCTTCTGCATCACCATTTTCCGGACATATTGGCTACTGTTCATACCACACAAGACATTCCTGAAGAAGTTGTTTTTGGACCATGCATGCTCCAGAACACCTTGCTGGACACTGTAGCTTTTATTGCTCTCAAGTGTTCTGAAAGACGGAACATCCACTATGTATTTAAGGTATGAGAAAACAGTGGTTAATGTCAGTCATATCAAAAAGAGCTACACCATCCCTGAGAAGGTAACTTTGCAGGGGGTAGGTTTGTTTTGTTCAGTGTGAGCAACAGCTCCTTCAAAGGGGAGAAGTAATCAATGCATTTCTGATTTATGAACTGTAGATTAGAGGGACCTCAGTGAAAACTCTTTCCTTTGCAGGAAGAATACAAAGTTCCACTTCTATGCTGACAACTGATGATCTGCTTCAGCACTGATGTGGACTAGAAGGGGAGAGGGACAAATAGTTTAGAAACCTCATGCTCATGTTTCATCCTTACAAAGGACAAAGGGTATTTATCAGGTGTGATGGCCTTGTGAGAAGAGAGAGGGAAGACTGTGGCATTGCACTGATTCATGCAGGTGGTGGATTCACAGCATTTATTGACAGATCCAAGCAAGTGCTAACACAGTTTGCTCAGTTACCCATAAAAGTGAAATCACCATGGCAGTTGAGCAACCAGTCCACACGATCTTCAGGCAGCTGCAACTCATTGCTGTTAGTACATGGACCTCCTAAAGTTACCTTAGAAATGTGTGTCTGTTTTAGAGCTACACTTCTCAGTCACTGTAGAGAAGGCAGAAACTCCAGGATTGTGATGGAGTATTAACTTTCTAACTTTAATTCCCAAAATTTTTTTGTTCTGTAGCCACTGTTTATCGTAACATTTTGATTTGACCAACGCATATTTCATGCTGGCCTGTTACCCTGGCTATCTGAGTCTTGAGTGCCTTTCAGTCACCGTTGGTCTAGATGAAGACAGAGAGGTAGTGTTTTATGGTGTGAGGAAAGCCAATTTCCCACATTCCATGGCATGAGCGGATCTGGGATAGATCCAGGTTCACCTAAGATTTCTGTGCTCTGGAGGAGAGAAATCCCAGGGGGTGTATGTAAAATGGAAGATATGGTTGTTGGGAGATACCTGTTTTACACTTCTGCTTTAAACAAAGTAAGAAAGAGAGCAGAAGGCTTCAGGGTTTATCTGACTGCTTTGAGTCTGGCACAAGTTTGCTTTCTTGGGCAGTGTTATTAGCACTACAGGAGATCGACAAACTCTTTGGAGAGAAACCTGTCCTGAAATGAGGCTTTATTTATGGAATACATCGGTATTTCTCCTGGGAGTTTTGAATTACTGTAGACTCAAGGAAGAGCCTCAAAGGGTTTCTACATTGGAAGAGCCCTCTGGAGGGATGGCTTTAGTGTTTTTCTACACTTGAGCTAAGTAATTGCTATGCAGCAATGAAATTGGATGCCTGAGTTGGCTCAGATCTCTGTCTTTTGGCAGTAAATACGTGGAATTCTGTGCAAGTAGCTGTTTCAGATGCAATCAGTAGTCCCATATCCTGTTAACTACTCATAATTAAAAGTAAACCTTCCAGAAATCAGGAATTACTGTTAAGATCCTAACTCTGTGTGTAATCAATTAATTAACAATTCAATCATGATACTTTGCTGTTGTCATGGCACTGAAATGCTGAACAAGAAACGGGTTTTGCTCTGCTGGCTGTAGTACAAACAGAATACACACAGGAATAATTTGGCAAGAATTTGGGGAATATTATTTCTAACAATGTTTCCTCATCTTGGGCTTTTTTGTTTAGACCAAAAGGGAGCTCCATAGTTTTTCTCTCACCCACTTGGAGACCTTAATTTGAGCTCCTTGGCCCAATTTATACACTTGCCGTGGCAACCCTTGGCACAGGTAGTTCTTTCCAGCTGAGTTCCTCTACCCCTTACAGCTTCTTGTGGGTTTCAAGGAAGAATCATATTCTCTCCCTTCTCCTCCAGCCTCTCCCAGGGAAGCCACGTTGCTTCCATAGTCCAGCTATGATTGAGCCTGCTGGGCTGTGAAACCCTTTCCTTGTATATGAGTGCAAAGGACTCATCTGAGGGATTGCCATCTCCTGAAGAGGGTGGACTTGCCAGGTTTATGGTGACTCTAAACACACAGAAAAACTAAAGCTGGTGTGTGCTTCTATTTGGCAGCAGCTTCTTTAGGCTCACTCAGCTCTTTCCCTGGAGTCCTGGTTCCTGGAGGAGCTGTGCTCCTTTGACTTTGCTTGGAGCGCTGGGTGGCTTCTCAGTATTTCTGAAACTTAGCAACTAAAATATGACAGCCTCTGTCATAGCTATTATTACAACCACTGTGTGTGGGTGGGTGTTCTTGTGTCGCTGTCAGACACTTGTATTTCTCAATCATTGTTAATTACCGTGGCATTTAGAGAGAACCAGTTACAGGCCATTCTAATTTATTTTCTTCCTTATACTAATTAACTCTCATCCTAATGGTCCCTTAATGTTTCATTCTTGTGTCCAAGCTACTAATGTGATTGTACTTTTGATGGTAGGGAACGGTCAGTTAAAACCAGAGAAATAATTAACCAAAATACTGTTTTTGATACCAAACACCAGTGAATGGCTGCCCTGCAATCAGTGGAAAACAAAGAGCTATATATTGCTTGGGGTGAAATTTAGATCATACTTGTCATTAGACATTTTTCATTTTCAAACTTTTTCCTTTCTAAACAATGACTTAATGTTTCAAAAATTAGTTGAGGCTTTTTATGCATGTAAATGATGCCCTTGATCGCCCTGTGTTTCAGCCTTCAAGCTATGAAAATCTTCCCCATCTTTCAAATACTACAGAGGGCATAGATCTGCTGTGGTAAACACCAAGGAAAATCCTATAAAGAAATAAATAATTCCCTATTTGGTGTAATAAAGTAACTAAGATGGGAGTCACACTGAAAGAGGAAGACCAAGGCAAATGTTTTGTAGTTATTTTATGTTCAGAGCATAGTCAACCTGTGACTAAATGACTCAGGAGTCCTGTGGATAAAAATTTATATGTGGCTGAGGACTATACTTTAATATCGACACAGAATGGAATTTTAATTTGAATAGTAGACTTAATATTATTTTTTTAACTTTTTAGTGCCTGACCTTACAACCTGAGCAATGTTTTTTGGCCTAGTTTGTTTGGTATTTTCTTTCACAAACTGAAAGTAAATCAACCCCCAGCAACTCTCAGAAATTATTTATTGAAGAATACTGATCTGATGAGGTTTTATCTGTTTAGATACCTTGAAATGAATTTAATTATTTATTGAAGGTAAGAATAGGAATATATAATTTTACTTCTGAAAAAGGAAAGAGGTCATATAAGTGCTTCTTAGTTGTATTTATTAAAATCTATGTTTTATGTAATCTAGCCAAACAGATATGCAGATGTTGTCTGCTTCGAGTGTTGAATCAAACAACCAAGGTTATTCTTACACCTCCCGATCCATATCCTCTTATGTCAGTGAAAAACTCCACATGCAGCTGCCGAGAATGTGTGTTCATTTCCAGTCTCTCACTGCACTGATCCAGGGGTCTGCACATCCCTCATCCCCCCAGGCCACAGCACCCTGACTCATACCCCATTTTTCCCATGGGGACTGAGACCCCTTCTTACAGAGGATCACACCTTCTGTACCTCTGTGATCCACACCTGGCACTGTCTCATGGGATAACCTGCATAGGACGGAGAACATCATCCTTGCCATGATTGGGCCAGAGTCTGACCAACATACCAGGCCTGGCATTGCCATGTGATGTTCCATGTGGACATTGGTGTCTCCTTCTCCTTCCTATGCAGCTGTATTCCCTGAGTTCTTAGCACTCACACAGGGGAAGCCTTTTCCCTATGATGACTTTGGATTTGGTGACATTGGTGTATGTATTGGGCTCACAGCTTTGTCATATTTACTCAGCATGAGGCAGAAAACAGGCTTTGTTTTTGAATGTGATGGAAATCTTACTCTGGCTCTCAAGACCTATAACTTCCCTTTTATGTGTCCTGTCTTACAGGTAGATGTTACGTCTGTGCACAGTCCCACAGGACTGCCTTGGATGAGACTTGTACAAGCAGCTGCCAATAGCAGCGAGCAGAACTTGGAAGCTTACTTAGAAAACAGCCAGTTATATTATCGCTCCATCAGGAAAATCAATAAAAATGAGGAGTTGCTTGTCTGGTATGATGAGGAGCTTTCCAGCCTCTTGGGTTTCGATGAGATAAAACCTCAGAGTCCCCAGAATGGTAAGTACCAAATAGCTGACTGCAGGGGTCACTGAGGACAGAAAGTGAATCTACTACTTCTGTTTAGTATGTGGTTGCTTTGTGATAAGGGAAATAAACTTGTCTAAATCCTTAGCTGGTCAGCTAAGAGAAGAGACCTTCTGCTCTGGAGATTGAGCTGAAGGCATAGAGTGAGAAGAAATTTGCAGTTCTCAATGCCATTTTCATTGTTACTTTCTAGCAGAGGATGGTGCACTAGGGATTCATGCTGAAATTTTTGAGCTACGTAATGGAAATCTGTGCACCTGACTAACTTGGAATCCTAAAAGTCTAAATTATCACTTGGAAATACACCTTTTTAAGCTCACTGAGGAATCAGGTATAGGTCAGTGTTCAGCTTTAATCTTGTAAATAATCAGGGCTATACAAATACATAACAAACCTAACAGTAATGCATACAGCAGTCTTCCTATTTGGTGTGGGACACAGTGGGAAGGAGGAAAAGGGCTTGAGTTTATTTCTGAGATGTTGGTGAAAATTCGTTGCTCCAAAAGGAATTGACTAGGCAGTTGTTGAAAAAATAAACATCTACGTTACATAGACACCAAGAAAATCAGTCAGGTCCATGCCTAGTCTGACTACAGCAGTCATTTGCTCCAAATTTTATCTAGTTAAACTGGAACAAAACCCTTTCTACATTCCCTTTAGTTGATTTACAGAGATTGGTTAGTAAAGGTGTAGCCTTGTAAAAGATATGAGTTGCCAAATTTATATGGTAGTGTGATTTCCTGTAAATTAATATTAAATTAATGCAGGCACATTCATAGCAGGAACTCACTAAATAATTCTAGCTGATTTCAGTGTATTGTGTTAGTTTCTGCATAGACACACACTGTCAGCTCTTTGGATTCACTAGGGGAAAGTGTTATCTGCACAAGAAACACAGTATCTCAACTCAAGACTTTAAACTAGCAGCTGTAATGTTCCACCCAATTCAGCAGCCTTATTTTCTTATGGAAAGTTCAGTTTCTGTAGTGTGGAAAGTGATCTAAGCTGTGCTGAGCCCAAAGTTAGGAATTTGTAGTACTACCTAACCAATCTATGAACTTTCCTATGTATCCGAGGCCCCAGGTACTGTCTGGCATAATTTGCATTTAAAAATTGCTGTGTGTTGTGAAATAACTTAGCATGGATATAGTTTGCAAAGGTTAAGATGTGCCATATGTGTCTTGGTTGATGAATTATATATCATCTGTTCATGGCAGTCAATCCTCCCAGTGAACCCTAGGTGCAGTAGGTTCTGAAGACCAGAAGGAAACGATGTTCCCCATTCCTCCTGCACATCACTGGGATTGTTTCACTTTGAACATTATTTTCTGTGCCACAGACATCTGTGCCTTAAGGCATATAACAACTTGCCAAATGAGCATGAGTAAGGGCTTCAGGCTAAGGTCAGATGATTTGTGAATGGTATTAAACTTCCAGGGTATCCTAAAAATAGAGGCTCATGTCAAAACCTTTGAATCCAGGTCTAAAACACATTATTGCTTGGATATGTAGAGTTTACCGTTCATCCTGTATTAAAGCCAATGATGTAGTTGAGAAATGTAGACCCAAATCTGGGTTCAGACTTCAAATCATCATAAAGTCTATATGGTTTTATCTAGGTCATTGTGTACTGGCCATTTTATTTAATTTTATGTAATATAATTACATTTTATATTTATAATACAGTCTTGGCTTGAGAGTCTAAAAGAAAGCATTTCTGCAAGTAGCACATGGAGGCAAATAAGAGGGAACCATTTTGTATATAGCAGGAAGGGACCTGATTCTGCACTGGCATTAGCTTTACCATGTGTAATCTTTTATGACACAAGAGGTGTTTCTGATTTTTGTTTGTGTCAGTAATAGGGTCGGTATCTGCATCCATCCATGATTCCACCTTTGCAAAACTCATCATTTGTTGTCTGTTTCTGCAGAGTTGAGATGCCAAGAATGTGACCGAGTCTTTAAATGTGAGCATTCCTACCTGTCCCATGTCCGTTTCCTCTGTGTCCCAGAGAAGAGTGCCCTGCTATGGAGAAACTTCCAGAACCCTAAGACTGAAAAGAGCAACTTAGCTGAGCAGACCACAAATTTCCACAGTCTGGCAAGGGATCTAGAAGTCAAAATGGCAGCTTGTAAAGATGATGCACCTGGTCTTGTTGGAGAAAGGAGAGCAAAATCTGAAGAGGCTGAGAACAACAGGAGCAGGAAAACAGTGTTGTTGGAGAAAACCAATAATTTGACTGAGGACCGTAACTGTGGGGGCAAGGAAGAGGTTGGGGGAGAGCATGCATTGGCTGGTTCTTTCTGGAAGCTTAGTTCAGGGAGGCAGTCAGCTAGGAAGGATGTTTTAGAGCAGAAGCAGAGTGCTTTCACTGAGGTCAGGAGGATGAAGGAGAAGATGAGGAATGAGAGACTGAAGGAGCCAGAGCAGGAGGATGGCACAGTCCCGGTTGGTAAAGAGCAGGTATCAAAGGAAGTGTTGCTGAACTCCTCTGGTAGTGCATTCTCCTTTGTTTGGCCCACCAGAGCTCGAGGAGAACAGAAGAGTGCTTTCAGCAAACCCAGTAAGCGTCTAACAGAAAGAGCCGCAATAAATTCTTCTCATCCCATGAGTGAGTCAGCAAAGAGCCTGGGGGAGCTGTCTGGCTTCATTGCCACCACAGACATCATGTGCTGCAGCACTCTTCTTAATTCCAAGTTTTTTGTCAGTGATTTGTGTAATGCTCAGATGCTGCAGACAAGCATCACTCAGAGCAATGTTTTCCCATATACCTCAGAACCGTGGCCCAAACAAGCAGGAGGACAGTTACAAAACACAACCACCACTACTTCTTCCTCCTCTTCCTCCTCTTCCTTGACTCTTCTTCCCCCCACCTTCACATCCTTTGGAGTGGCTGCCCAGAACTGGTGTGCCAAATGCAACCTGTCCTTTCGCATGACATCTGATTTAGTCTTCCACATGCGGTCACATCACAAAAAAGAATACTCCTCAACTGAATCCCAGTGCAAGAGGAGACGAGAGGAGAAGCTAACATGTCCCATTTGTCATGAGTACTTCCGAGAACGCCATCATTTATCCCGGCACATGACTTCTCATAATTAGAGCTGTGCAGACAGATATCACCAAGAGACTGGGCAGGTTGGATAAAGAAGGGAATGGTAGTTCACTTATATACATTTCTTTTTGAGTTTACATTAATTTCTTACAGGAAATCACTGTTTACAATAATTTATAATAGATGCTTTGCAAAAAAATTATAAAGTGTTTACAAGAATCTGAGTGGCTTGTAAGTTTTGAAAGCTCAACCTAGCCCTTGTCAACCTATTTTTAAGGAAATAAAATAGTGAAATGAATGCACATGCAGTGTTAATTTGCAGAGTAGGGAACAAAATTATAGTTTTGCAAACAGAGTTTTTTTGCTTATATTTGATTTGCTGGTGTCCGTGCAGTACAATGTAAACACAGAAGTAACAACCACCTCATTGAATGAGGAACTTTTGAGCACTAAAAAAATCAGAACTTATATGCTAAGAGAAAAGAAATTGCTATTTCTAGAAGTGTTGGTAGACTCTTACTCCTTTACCAGATTTGTGAGCTAAAAACTTGTATCTCACCATCTCCTTGGCTTTGTAAGGAACCTGAAGTTAAAACTGTCTGAAATCTGTGATGGTCAACAACTGACCAGCAGACTGCCAAAGAGGATGTAACTTGTAAAGCAGCATATCTGAGTTCTGTTCTCGGCTCTACTGCTTTTGAAATATCTTTTACAAAGTCAGATCAGCCTGGATCTGTATCAAAATGTGACCTGTTGTCAACATTAGTGTGTAGACAGGAAGCAAAAATTCTGAGCAGTGTGCTTGCAAGGTCTGTGTGACTTTAGCAGGCATACAGATCTGATGGGCATAGAGTTTAGCCTGTGGTTTTCAGGTTTTAGATATACCAAAGGAAGCAAGTAGGGAATTTGAGTTACAATTAGCTACTGATAGATAGAATCTGCACACTAATTGTGGACGATAGGCTCTGTTTTGCTAACAGGTAGAATATGAATGGCCTTCACAAAATGACACAGACATACGTGAATTTTATTGCATTAGACCAGCTTGTCTATCCTCTGATTTCTACATGGGCCAATTCCAGCTTTTTTAGAAAGAAAGTTCCAAATTTTTCTATTGCCTCTCCATGAGATTTGAGCTTTGCTGAGTCTCAGAAGCAGATGAGATTATACTGCTCTGGGTGGGAAGAAGCATTGTCTATTGTTACTGCAGCCCAGCTAATTAGCCTTTCATTACTTTATCCATTTAGGATATCCATTTAAATCCATTTAGGGGCTTGCTCTTCATAGCTTATGACAATGTGTTCCTGAAGCAATCATTTCTCTCTTGTGTAGCATTTTTTCAGGTTGTCTGGTGTTTTTGTGGCCTGTATCTGAGCCTCATCTGGTTCATCAAGGGCTTATTACTCCCTTCCAGACAGAGAATGATCAGAAATCACTCATTTTTCATCTAAGACTAAAGGACATTGCAATATTCTCTTTATGTTCCACCATACTGATGATATACTCCAGTATTTGTCTACAGCACACTGGACAGATTTTGAGTTCCTGCAACAATGCCTAGTCTGATAGTGCAAGTATCAGCACATAAACACATCTGTGCAATAAAAGAGAGCCTGAGAGTCTTAGGCTTTCAGATGGAACCAACATATTACACTCATTGTCATCTCTTGGGAGCTTTCTAGAAGTCATGAGATTGTATTCTTCCCAATGCCTTGCTGTTGAACATTAATACATGGCTGTTTCCTGTTAATGTAAACATTTGACTTATTGCAGGACAACATTTTTGCAACATAAAGAGATAAAACTGTTGCATTATGCCTTTGAGTTTAGAACACATAAATTGAGACTTGAGTTTTGGTTGGATTGTAACAACAGCTTTCCAAGGTCAGTGGTGGAAGCTCTTTCACTGGAGTCATTAAAAACTGAAATGAACAAAGACTTTGAAACATGGAGCACTGGGAACAACCTTGCATTGAGTAGGGAGGGGATGATGTGGTTTCCTCTCAGTCTTTCCATCTCTACTTTGTGTCCAAGGAAAATATATATGACAAGGTTTAATGGGCCAAATTTCACTCCATCTGGTTTTACCTGAGTGCCAGCCACTTTACTGTGAAGTCAGTGTCCATAAAGTGTAATGAAGGACTCCATGGTGTAACTGCATTCGTCTGTGGTCAGGGTTGTATTTACCATTAGTAATTTAGCAAAATCTGTGATCTCATTTATTCCAGTGTAAATCCAGAACAAGTCCATGTTGCTACTTCTGATTTACATTAATTACTTTAAGATCAGTCTGGCACAGTATAAATAAGACTAAAGATTTTTTGGTACCATTGCTACAAAATGTTCTGTTCTGTACTTACTGAAAGATGCCGTGTTTTCTTAACAGTTTAATGGTTAGAAACCTAGCTTCAGATTTCTTCTGGAAAAAGACGGGACCAGTGGTATAGTGCTCCCCAGTATTATTTTAGCGCATCACTTCAACATTACCCTGCTCCAAGGGCCTATTTTTCCAGTGCATTACACCTGGCGTATTATTTACATCAGAATGAAGCACTACCAAATATAACTGGTTACATAGTTTCACTGATTTTGTGTTGGTACAGCTGATCTGGAAAAAGTGTCAAAAATCAACCACTGATAAACAGCTGCTAAATCTCAAAACCTTCAGATGGTGTGTTAGACCGGCCTCCTCAGAGTGCTCACCACTAATCAAACTTCTTCACTCTGCTTATGGTATGAGGCTTAAGCAAGCAACAAGGTTATGGGGAGAGATAGAGCTTTCCTTTATGACATGGAGTTGTTTTCTCTGGGAAAAACAAAAAGTGTAAGAACTCTTTCCAGTTTCCTTACGGGCATATCTCAGCCACAGCAACTTACATACTGTGATGACAAACAATCTATGAATGCCTTCTGTGCACAGAAAGGCAAGAAAACCAGTTATGAAAACTGGCAGAGCTGATTCAAAAGGCAAAAGTGAAGGGTTTTAATCAGCTTTATTTCTGGTACTTTGCTCACCTCTTCTAGCAACAGTGGCAGTGCAGTTTGGTCCTGGCATGTAAAGATTGAGGATTTTCCTCATGTAACATGGGAATCACAGTGTAGGCAACTGTGTGCAGTATTAGCCTTGTTCCTTTGGAGGTGGCCATTGGCGTAAAAATTGAGTGAATAGATTGCTTCTTATTCTGGGCAGAAGTGTTTTGTGGACTGAGACTTATTTACACACACAACCAACCAATATGACGTCTTGTTGCCTTCTGCATCTGTGCTGATATCAGGGCAAACCCACATAGATGCCATCAGAAGCAGAACTTGGTATGTGTAAAATGAGCTCATGTGTAAAGCTCCTTGTGCAGGCATGGTGAATGTCTTTTATGTGTTTCGACTTTAACTGAGTGTCTCATCTAAGCTGGGTTACATAAACCAGGGGCCTTGTCCAAAATCTCTGCAGATTTTATGTCTTTAAATGAAAATATTCGTATTAAAGCTGAGTGAACCAAGTATTGCACGGGCAGAGGGAAGCCTAACGAGACAAAGAAAAACAAACTTCCTGTAATTGAGTCATGCTGGAAGCTTATTTCCCCTTATGTCTAGAAGTCTGAAAATTTAAATTGGTGCAGATGAAATCCTGCTGGAAGGAAAGGACTCCACTAGAGCAGGGTTTGTGAAGAAATGAAGGGACTTAAGGAATTCATGAAGGACTGCATTCTATCCCAGTGAAATACTGTGAGCAGAGATCTGTCTTTTCTACAAATAAGAATGCTAGGGGGGGAAAAAAAGTATTTTGTTTTTAAAACAGGAGGAGACAAGCTGACTGGTTCTTTTCCTGTCTTTGCTAGCAACTGCCTGTTCATTTTGATCAAACCACTGTTTCTCATGACATCTGTTTCTGGATCAGTGAAAAAGGACACAACACAGTGTTGTCAAGCTTAGCTGTGCAGGGTGTTTTTCTGCAGTGGGTAGTGAATTTACCAGTAGGAAATGCCAGATTAGGATATTTGTTCACTTATCAACCATTGCTCCCTGAACGTTTTCCAGGGAAGATGTGTTTCTCCATCGAAATTGCGTTCAGATACACTTTTGAAAAATACAGATTTACTTGCTTTTTATGGGGTAATTTTTCACTAATCAATGCAGTCTGTGAGCTCCCTTTGGTCTACAGACCACAGTTCGGAAACCACTGGACTAAGGTAACAGAAAAAAAAAAAAAGAAAGAGCTGACTGTCATTCCTTGGTTAAAGTTCCATGAATGCTAAAAGGAGAAAGATGATACTGCTAGGTGGTCTGATACACCAGCTTCTTTCTTCCTGACTTTAAAAGGAACGTGATTAGGATTAAAATTCAGGAAGTTATTCCAGGTGGGATGGTAAGGAAATGGTGCTATAAACTGTTGAATGCCCATGTCAGCTCTGGAACCAGATGAGAGAAAGGTGGCAGGTTCAGCATTTTTCCTGTGCCTGGAAGGGCACTTACCAAATTGCTTGTCCCTACCTTAAAACCTTCTGTCTAACTTTCTCATTTAAGCCACAAACCATGCATTTTCCATAACTAATTTTCACTTGTAGTTTTGTGATATTTGGACCTTCCCAATGCAGTGTAATTTTCTACACAATTACTGCCTGTAGTTTTGTGAGGTCTAAGCTCATCGAGACAGGAATAACTATGACATAGCACTTTGTGAAGACAGGGGAAAATGGTTTTTTTACACGCTGGACTTTGTTAAGCCTGGCAGTTTCAATATTAATTAGCCAGTATATGACCTATGAAATAATAAATAATATTTTGTCAAGTAATGAAATTTCTCAAGGTTGCACATTAATTTTCCAGTGAAATCAATCACTTGATTAAGCTACCAGCACTGTGGATTTAAAATGAACTCACCAGCAAATGCATCTTCATTGTTTGTTTTCCCAACTGGATTCCAATTTCTAGGCATATTTATTATTCACAAGTACTTATCATATTACTATGGGAAGAAATTATTTGCTATTTGTGCCCATATGGTATAGATTTTTGTCCTTGAATGGATGGCTAAAGTCTTTAAGTAGTGGGTTTAACAGTTAATATTGTTTGTACATGACAGCACAAGTGATTGTTTTTAGGAAAACAAAGCAGCATATCTGGATCATTTAGATATTAAAGAGGCTTAAAAGACTTTAGAAGAAATACATTAGTGTTTTTTACTCATTCATTGACTACTCCAGTTTTTTCCATATTAAGAATATTTAATATTCTTCATACATGTATCACTTTACACCAAATTCTGTATGAGTTTTAATTCATTAAAATATTTTCCACAACACTGAGAAGTTCAACAACAAGCTAGTGCGTAAAAATCAGAACATGAAAATGAGTCAAAAGAGTCCAAGTTAGTGATCACATTGAGTGTAGCTGATAAGACAAATAAGTAGTAAAAAAGATGGAAAGTCTTCTCGATTCTTAAAATTATTTTCCTGTAAAAACTGAAAGTCAGATGTTTAACACAATTTATAAAAAAAAGGGGCAGGAACTTACAAATGAGCAAGCGAACACCAATGTGTAACTACTATAGACTCTAAGTGAATTTTGAGGGACCATTTCCCTGACTTAGGTAGAGCTAGCATTCTGTGGAGATGAGAAATTTTAAGATCTAGATTAGACTTACATGTATTTCTAAATAATTACAAAGAAGATGTTCAACTAAGAATTGTAGGAAAGACAAGGAATGTCGTGCATTGCATAAGCTCATGTCACTATCTTAGTTGCCCTGGAATACACCATTATTTAAAATGTACGTTGTTAGCAGGGTGCAAAGGATATTTCTCAGCTTTTTTTTTTTTCGATTTCTTTCCCCCTCTGTCTTTAGGGCAGGACACATAGCAATCTATTTTTAGTCTTAAGTAAAAACATACGATTCTTTTCCTTGAGCCAGTTGATCCAAGCACAGAGTGACAGACTCAATGTACTGCCTTTCTCTTGCTCATTCTCCCCTCCCTTTGACAGATACTAGGAGAGCAGCAGACATCTACCTTTGAAATACCGGGAATCTGGGTAACCCTGACAGACTGGGAATGCTTATTTTTGGTACATCTAAATGACAAAATGGAGAAGAGACTTGATTTACCTCTTGCAGTTTGGAAAACAGTCTTCCAACTACTGTTAATTCTTAAAGACACGTAAATAGGAATGTACACAATTTCCAAAGGAGAAGTGCCTTTTCTGTCTTTGAGGTTGTTCACATGCCTTTAATACTGACAGCTGGGATTTTTCTAAGGGACCAAAGAAAATCTGTGATTTGTAGCTAAATCTTCAAAACCAGACACACTGAACATTTATGTTTGGCTACAAGAGAGGAATACAGAAACCCCAGTGAATTATCCAAGTATCTCAGCCATGCACAGAATGAACTGGCCTCCACAGAATGGGGAAAAATGTCAGCATGTTGAAAAGGAGTCACTTTGAGCTACATACAGGGACCCAATCACTGACCATAGGGATTGAAATGAAGTTCCCACTTCTTTCTAGGGTTTACATTTGGGAAGATAGCTCTCTTTTCCTAAGAACCAGGGGCATGTTCCTCCACTGGACTATCTAGAGCTGTGTAGGTGAGCGTTGAGCATCTCCTTTGCTTTGATGAGTGCTGTTTCAGCTGGTGTTTCTATGTGAGGAGGCACTCCTTTCCCTTCCCAAGAAGTGCCGTCTGGAGAGATGACTGATCTGGAGGTGGGGATGAAGATGTAGAAGTTGGTATTATCTACTTGATACGTCTGTGGAGAATGGCAGTCACCACTGGTTTGTTCCCCAATGATGAGAGCTCTGCCCAGTCTCTTCATTATGTA